ACTTGGTTGAAGATCTGCTCCCAGATCTTCAGGATGAAAGGTTAGTGAGATAATTCTCTCTGTTGCTTAGCCCCCTTCTGTATTTTTTTTTTTTAAACCAGTGGAAGCTCCTTTGCAAGAAGTTGATTTGATCCTGCCAGGATTACAACTGTCAAATGAATATCAAAATGTTTTCCCACCTTAAATAATTTAACTCAGAATATAATAATGTAATTATTTTGACATGAAAACGTTACATACTGTAGTATTTCCACTTATCTTAAAACAGACGTTTTCACTTTACAAGAGATGCATGCAATAAGACAAAACAAAAAATGAATAAAAGGGAGTGAGTGACAGACTGAGCTACTTTGTTTAGAGGATAAAAACAAATAAAATCCTATTAGTGTCAAATATTATGAACTTAGAATTAAAATGTTCCGCTATTTATAGGGCTGTTTCATATATTTTATATAACAGTAGGTGGGTGCATAAATGTCTAACACATGAAACTAGCAACATGTTTATCAGGTGAATATTTTCTGTTTGAAATGGTGAGTTCATGGTGGAGTGGAAAAGGGACGTTAGTAGAAATTGTTCGTATGTTGCATTATGTTGTGTAAAGTACATGTGTCACATTACATATATTTTCCTTCCAAAATCCTACTTTTTCATTTGTGAAACAGAATGGTTGTGTTTGCTTTTTGCTAAGACTTAAATAGTTCGAAACATTTTTATTAAAAATTAGCTAAGGCAAATGACCAAAATAAGTCTCATTAATGCAATATAATTACTAACAGAAAGCTATTATGCTTTTGAGCACCTATTAAGTGGCTACCAATAATTACTAATTGTTTTAATCTCTTCCAGTGTTTTTTGTAGGGGCAGGGGAAGAGGTTTTTATATTTGATATCTTGTCCATGACTTATTGGGGTTGTAGGTTGATTAAGTGTACAAGTTGATGATAAATCAACTTGATACACCATATAATTGTGATCTATGAAATGTTACTTGTGTAAAAAAGTAGTGACTGTTGGTTTCTTGGCCTGTATTACAGGGGGGAAATATATATACACATACTTTTTCAGATTTTGCTTATGTGGGTGTCTGAAATTTAAATACATAAATTAGTGGATAGTGAACCACAGAAGGTTTAGTTCTCTTCATATATGCATATTCCTTATTAGGATTCTTATCTAAATCTTTTTTTTGAGAGAGAGCTTGACTGGACATCTGAGAACTGATTTTTTTTATCATTATTATTATTTATTATTACTTAAAGTTTCACTCTTTCCTGGTTTCAGCCAGATTTAAAATACCACACAAATAGCCATTGTCTCTGTGCTTCCAGAAAAAATAGGAAGAGTAAGTCAACACCGAATTTTAAAGAAAGGTCTCTGAGCCTTTTTGAGCTTAAACTAGAATGTGAGTTGAGTTTATTTTCAGTTTTTGAGGAAAGTTTTAGGTTAGTTCAGTTTTTTCCAGAATTAATTTGGATTACTGGGTCAGATTATTTAAGTATGGAAATTATTCTGTTTTTAGTATCCCATCTCCCATCTATGCCTTGCTGCTCTGGGAAGAGGTTTGCTTTTTGCGCCCAACCCCAGTTACTGTCTTAGTGCTCTAGGTTTCTGAAGGAGAAGCAAAAGTCCTTGACTACTACTTCCAGTAGTGCACCCATGGGTGCTCCACTTCAGATGCTCATGCGCGCCACCACCTTTAATCAGAGTTATTCATTAGCAGCAGGGGCAGCTCTATGTTTTTTGCTGCCCCAAGCACAGCAGGCAGGCGGCTTTTGGCGGCGCGCCTGTGGGCGGTCCGCTGGTCACGCAGATTCGGCGGCATGCCTGTGGGTGGTCCGCCGGTGCTGTGCCATCGGCATCCCCACCGCTGAATTGCAGCCGAAGCCACGGGACCGGCGGACCTCCCGCAGGCATGCCGCTGAAAGCTGCCTGCCTGCCGCCCCCCGCAGCTTGCCGCCCCAGGCACGTGCTTGCTGCACTGGTGCCTGGAGCCGCCCCTGATTAGCAGCGTCCATTTGGCCTGCACATACACTGCTTACCTCATGCCTCAGACCGTGGCTATATAAGGTTGTGTGGGCAAACTATATTCAATTCCTTCTCAATTGCCTCAGCCTGAGAAGTAGCCTAGTGTATGCCTTAGATCAGTGGTTCTCAAACTTTTTTACTGGTGACCCCTTTCACATAGCAAGCCTCTGAGTACGATCCCCCTTATAAATTAAAAACACTTTTTTATATATTTAACACCATTATAAATGCTGGAAGCAAAGCGGGGTTTGGGGTGGAGGCTGACAGCTTGCGACCCCCCATGTAATAACCTCGTGATCCCCTGAAGGGTCTCGACCCCCAGTTTGAGAACCCCTGCCTTAGATGCTTGCTGAGTTCATTTACTTAGTTTATTTAGTTTACTTAATTAGTTTTAAGTAGTTAGTTACTGGCTACTGAAAGATTGTTTTATTTCCTTCAAGGAAATCCCCCCTGTGAGGAGCATTCCCAGTTCACTGGGGTTTAAACGTTGCCTCACGTGTAAAGAGGCTAGCTTGGTCAAACTCTTTAAATGGGTTTGCTGCCTGGGGGAGTTGCACTTCCCACAGCAGGGTAACATCTATTTGACCTTCAAATCCAGGGCCCAGAAGAACCAGGCAGTCAAGTTGTGACTGTAAATGATGGAGTAGTCTCTTTGGAGCCAGATCAGAAGAACCCCCCTGTATATCAGTCCCTGGGGGTTAGTAGTGCCCCTTAAACCTCAGTGCAACACTCTTCTAGAAAGAGGAAAGCCTCAGAGACCTCCTTTTAAAGATCCTAAGAAGAGGCATTTCAATTGTTCTTCAAGTAGTATCCCTATGGGTGCTCCACTCCAGGTGTACATGTGTTTCTCAAGCCCTTGATTTCTAGCTAGCTGTACCGGTTCGGCCCATGCAGGCATCCTATGCCTTCTCATAGCAGAAACCAAGCTCTATATAGGGGTATGTGGATGAGCCACCATCAGTTCCTTTTCTACTGCCTCAGCCCGAGAGAGAACACTAGCAAATCTGCCTAGAGCGTACGCAGACTTTCTCCACTTTTTTCTATTAACGCTAGTTAGTTTACTGTTATTAGTGTTTGTATAGTTAGTTGGTTTAGCCAAGAGGACTGCGTTTCCTCTTTTCTCCCAAGGAGTCTTGTCTTTCCCTGGCAAGGTGTGCCTAATTCTCCAAGATTCAAACATTGCCTCTCCTGCCAGAGGGCTATACTGGTGAGTGACAGACACTCCAAGTGTTTCCCTTGCTTGGGAGAGTCCCATATCTCCCAGAAGTACTCCACCTGTTTAGCCCTTAAGTCCAGGACTAGGAAGAACAGGGAGATAAAGTTCAGAATGTTGACAGTGGAACGTTCCCTGCAACCACCCTCTGAGCCAGGTCAGGAGATTCTCCTTTCTCCTCTTCACCCCCCCTCCCCCCCCCCGTACATCCAGCATCCCATCTAAGGACATGCTTCTCCTAAGAAAGAGAAGCCTTTGGTGCACCCTGGGATGACTTCCCAAAAGAGCACGGACTTTAAGGAGCCAGCTCCAAAAAAGACCCATGTCCCTGTTGAATCCCTCAGTCTCCAAGTGTACATTGAGGCCAAAGACTCTTCCCTTGGTACCGGCAGGCCCACGAAGCCCCATAGCTTCAAGTAGAGGAAACACGGCTCTGGTAGGGCGCCTCTACCTTCTACTAGTAAGGAGAAATTCAGGGTACCATCAAGCTCAGCCCCGTCATCAGCACTGTAGCATTCCCCTCAGTCGTTGGTGCTGTCATGCGCCTTAACCCAGCCATCGTTACTGATGCAAATAGCTCAGCTGGGTGTGCCTGTGCAAGTGATACTCTTGGTACTGAGCAAGCACTGGTGTTTGACAAGGCCTGTGGAACACTCAGCGTTATTAGTATTGTTAGCTGCAACCATGGCGACTTTGACTAAGGTGTCAGTACTTGGAACTCCTGAGGAAAGGACACAATACTTGAGGGATCTCTTGTTGTCGAATGAACCAGAGTCCCTGTTGCTCTCAGGTACCAAGCGTCTCAGGATACCGATTCCTCAGTCTTTGAGTGGCCTCTCCCTGGCATAGGACTCTCCTTTGTCCTCATTGGTTGCCCCCCTATGGGAGGATGTGAAGGAGTAGGAAGAGCACTCCCAGTCAGGCTCCTTGATTTCTGTTAGGGGTTCTCCTACATACCTCTTCAGGAATCTGCTCTTGCGCAGGGAGGACTTGTTGCGCATCAATCATGGTGGAACCACCCTGTATGCCAACCCCCACTCCCTTATGCAATGGGACCCATAGGCTGCGTATCGACAACAGCTCAATAAGCCACCAGTACTGTCCATTGTGGAGACCAGAGTTCCACAACCTTCTTCTGCCCTTCTAAGGAAAAGATGTTTGAGGAGTTGGAGGCTAGGGCAGATGAGGAATTTACCCCTGAAACTACAATTTCGTTATTGACCCCTCCTTCCATCGCTGATGATTTCAGACAATTCCAGGACATCAGTAGAAGGGTAACGGACACTCTGCAAATCCCTCTGGAGGAGGTCAAAGGCCAGCAGCACAGGCTGCTTGATATTTCACAGTAAGCAACGCCCTTCAGAGGGTGCTCCCCATTAATTAGGCTTTCCTGGATCCAGCTAAGACAGTATGGCAGACTCTGGCAACTATTCAACCAATGTGCAAAAGGGCTGACCAGAAGTATAATGTACCCCCGAAGGACTGTGACTTTTTGTTTTCCCATCCCCCACCTAACTCATGGTGAATGCTGTGAACGAGTGGGGTAGACAGCACTTTTCCCCTATGACAAGGAGCAAAAGCAATTGGACCTCTTTGTATGAAAATCTTACTTGTCCACAAACCTGCAGTTCCGGATTGTGAACTATCAGGCAGCCATGGGTACACATACAGCTTTACTAATTACAATAAGCTCATGGCCTTTATTGAACATCTGCAACATGACTGCAGGGAACAATTCTAGTCTATTGTTGCAGGGAGTCAGCTGTTGGCCAGAACAGCTCTCAAAGCATCCGTGATGCTGTAGATAGTGCTGCCAAATCCATCTCCATGGTGGTAGTTATACGCAGGGTGTCCATGCTCCAGCTTTCAGGGTTACTGAGAGAGGTCCAAAACACAGTAGAGGACCTCCCCTTTGGTCACAAACTCTTCTCGGCAACCACAAATGACTCCCTGCACACACTTAAGGACTCCAGGGCCACCCGTTTTTCCTTGGGTATTTATACAAGAAGCACTTCAGTAGGTCACAGACTGTCCAGAGATCAAGCCCTGCTCAGTTCCAGGGGTGTCAGAGACCTGCAGAACCTGCCAGGAAGAGAGAGAGGTTTCAGAGTAATAGGACTGTCCAACTGCCCTCCACAACCACCCAGGTGTCCTCTAACCAGCAGTTTCGATGGGTCGCTCAAGGGTTTGAATCCTCCCGTTCCACCCTTTAGCCCACCTCCCTGCCTTTGGGGATTGCCTTGTCCATTTCTACCAGCCTTGGGAGCAGATCACCACGAACCAATGGGTCTTGAAGGTCATAACCTTGGGGTACACCGTCCAGTTTTTGATACTCCCTCCCTTCCATCCTCCTTCCCATCCCTCGTCAGAGACCCTCTGGTGAACTTCTACTAAGGCAGGAGTGAACTTTCTCCTCCAGCTAGGATCAGTAGAGCTGGTCCCTTCCACTTACAGGGAGAGGGAGTTCTACTTGAAATACTTCCTAATAGAGTCCTGTGCGGGACTATTTTTAATCCCACTCCTGTCCCGCCCCACAATACCCACTGTCACTCCAACTCGCTCCTGCTATTATGGCAGCAGTCCTGTGGGATCCCAGTCATCCTGCAGGGCTCTACACTAGTCCCACAGAGGACTCTACTTCCTAGTACCGAAAAAGGACAGAGATGGGAGCCTGATCTTAAATCTAAAACAACTGAACAAGTTTGTGACGCCTCAGAAGTTCAGGATGGCGACTAACACTATAATTCCTAATCCAGAGGAAGGGAATTGTTTTTTGTCCCTCGACCTACAAGACACTTACTTCCATATGGCCATACACCCATTGCACAGGAAATACCTACAATTCACTATGAGCCAACATCATCTCCAGTACAGATTGTGCTTCCCTTAAGTCTATCTGCAGCTCCAAGGGTGTTCTCAAGGTTCCTAGCAATAATGGCAGCTCACCTTTGGCAGGAAGCAATTCTCATCTTCCCATACCATGATCACTTGCTTCTCAAAGGCCAGTCTTTCAAGGCAGTGTTGTCATCCACTCAGAAGGGACTTGCTCTGTTCCAAGAGTTAAACCTACAGCTGAATGTAAAGAAACCCACTTGAGTACTAGTGCAGGGAATTCAGTTTATAGGGATGTACTTGGACTCAGTGACAGCCAGAACATATCTTCCTTTAGACAGATTTGTGACTCTGCCAGGACTAGTAGGGATGATTCATGGAATCCCTGGGAAATCAATAAGGAACTGTCTTCAACTCCTTGGCTATATGGCAGCATGAACCTTTGTGACCAGTCACGCCTCTGTTGCATCCAAGGTTGGTTGAGAACTGCATACTGTCGGACCAAGGACAACTTGGACAGGCAGGTGGCATGTAAAGAACTCCCTGAACTGGTGGAAGGAGCAGCTCCACATCTATTGGGCATCCCTTTCTGCCACCCAACCCTGTTAGTGACTCTAACAGCCGATGCATCCTTGTTAGGGTGGGGAGCCCACCTTGGTACCCTCACAGTTCAGGGCAAGTGGATGGCATAGGAAACCAGTCTCCACATCAACCTGTTGTATCCTGCTCTATGAAGGTGCAGCAGGTGTTATTACACAGCAGAAAAACATCAACCCACACTTCTTACCTGCAGAAATGGAAGAGATTTGCCCACTGGCACTGTCATCACTATCTCTGGCCTCAGTTGATTCCCCTTTCTGTCATCATGGGTTACTTGCTGAATCTGAAGACATCCGGGGTATCCATCAGCTCAGTTAAGGTACACCTGGCTGCTATATCAACTTTTAATCCCCGGGTTTGAGTAATCTCTTCCCCACTAGGCACCCCACCCCTTCCTGGGACCTCAGGCTGGTTCTCAGCTACCTCATAAGACCTCCATCTGAACCAATGGCTACCTGCTCCCTTCTTCAGTTATCTGTGGAGATAGCCTTCCTAGTTGCCATCAGGTCAGCCCGTAGGTTTGGGGAAATTGGTTTGGAACTTTGATGGCAGATCCCACCTTTATCACGTTCTTTCATGATAAGATCTCTTTATGTTCATATTCTAGGTTCCTACCCAATGTTACATCAGATTTTCATTTTAACCAATCTACCCTGTTTCCCCGAAAATAAGACAGTGTCTTATATTAATTTTTGCTCCCAAAGATGCGCTAGGTCTTATTTTCAGGGGAGGTCTTATTTTTCCTGGAGCTTCGGGGCCTTATATTCCGGGGTGGCCTTATTATCGGGGAGGTCTTATTTTCGGGGGGATGCCTTATATTACAGCGAGAGGCAAAACTGGAAGTAGGTCTTATTTTCGGGGGATGTCTTACTTTCGGGGAAACAGGGTATCCATCTACTGGTATTTTTTCCAAAACCTCCCAGTTCTCAGCAGGAATCCTACTTCCATATCTTGGATGGTAGAAGGGTCTAAACCTTCTACTTTAATAGGAATAAGCAGTTTAGGAGATTGGCTAGACTCTTCATATCCTTTGCGGATCTAAGGGGGCCCGCATTTCTGCCCAAAGACTTTTGAAATGGATATCTGGTTGTATCTACACCTGTTATGCATCTGCAGGTGCTCAGCCCCCAGGGGGTGAGAGCTTATTCAGCTAGATTGGAAGCAACATCTGCTGTATTTTTTAAGAATATCTCAGTTTCTTAGATATGTAGAGCTGCTTTTCCTGGTCTTCAATCCATATGCTTTCCAAAGCACTATGCCCTCCTCTATGCAGTCAGGTCCAATGTGGTACTTGGCTCAGCAGTACTATCTTTGGTTCTGGACTCTGTTCCGAAGTTCCCTCCTCCTTCTGGGGATACTGTTCAGAAGTCTCCTGGAGTGGGACACCCATAGGGACACCACTCAAAGAAGAAGGTAATGTTACTTACCCTGTGCAGTAATTGTAATTCTTCGAGATGTGTGTCCCTGTGGAGTGGAGCACGCATAGGGAGGCACATCTCAAATAACTACAGTTACTGCACAGGGTGAGTAACATTTCCTTTTCCTCCTAACATACTCACCTCGAAAAGACCTGGCTCTCCAACCAGGTCAACAGTCTCCAAGACCTCTTCCTTGAGGCCTGGTACTTTAGAGGCTAGGGGTGCCTCATGTACCAGCGAGGCAGGAAAATCCTGTAGCTCAAAAGGCAAATATGGCTCGGGGAAGGCTCCGGTGTTGTCTAGCGGAGATGGTCAGAACAGACACAGAAGGTCCAGTCTGTCAGTCTTAACCCCTCTCCCAGTACCCTTATTGAGCTCTTTGGTAATGTGTAAGTCTAAGCCTGCATCTACATCAGTGCCGCCTGTGAAGTCTGAAAACCACTGCTATCATCCTGCAGAGACAAGCGTACCCGTCCGTCCATGCTGCAGCCTCACATGGTGCCGTAGGACTTTAGGTATCCGAAAGACTTATTGGTGACTGCTGAACCACAGTCTCCATTGCTGGCATCTCTCAGTAACAAGAACCTCTGTCTCCGGACCCTTATATATTCCCAGTACTGTCACCTCCCTTTTCAATTGGAGCTCCCTGATAGAGGAAGAAGAGGATGATCATGGAGACCTCCCTTCAATATATTTCTTAACCTTAGCCAATCTATTTCTGTTCAGAGACTCTCCTGTGTACCTATATACAAACCTCCTTTCTCGGAGAGACAGGGAAGATGTCTGGGAACCTCATTACTCCAGCGACATTCTATATAAACAGACAGGGTGGTGCTCGCTCCTCTCTCCTATGCCAGGAAGCCCTCAAACTGTGGGACTTCTGCATTGCCCACTCAATACATCTAGAGGAATTGTACCTCAGAATGAGCTGGCCGATCATCTCAGCATGTCCTTTCACAATCACAGGTGGTCCCTCCGCCCAGATATCATGATCAACATCTTCCAATGTTGGGGATTTCCCCATTCAGAACATACAGTTTATAGGGGCATCCCTGGATTCCTTGGCCTCCAGGGTATTTCTTCCCATGGACAGATTCATGATACTATCAAATTTATCACAGCTATTCAAGGGAACCCCCCGACTTCAATCAGAAACTGTCTTCAACTTCTAGGTCACATGATGGCTTGCACTTTTTTGACAGAGCATGTAAGATTACACCTTCACTATTTCCAGGGGTGGCTCAGATCAGTTTACTTGCCAAACAGGCAGCCTAGACAAAGAGGCATCAGTTCCTCAACAGGTCAGATGCTCCCTGGACTAGTGGAAGGTTCATTGAAAAGTAGGGGTGAGGGTCCCCTTCCTCCAACCAATGCTAATGACAATTGTAATCATGGATGCATCTCTGTTAGGACGGGTTGTGCAACTCAAAGTTCTAACAGTACAAAGCAGATGGTCACCCTAAGAGATCCGTATTAACCTGTTGGCGCTCAGAGTGGTCAGAAATGCCTACCTTCACTTTCTGCCTCTCCTCAGATACAGGTCTATCAAAGTCATGACACACAATATAGCCTGCATGTCCTGTATCAGTCGGCGGGGAGGAGCGAGGTCCTCTTCCCTCTGTGCTGAAGCAATAAAGTTATGGAACTAGTGCATAAAACATTGCATAAGAATTTCAGCAGTGTATCACCTGATCAGGCAAAATGTCAAAGCCGACACTCTCAGCAGGTGGTTTTTCCAAGAGTACAAATGGAAGTTGCATTCCCAGATTCTTGTTGGCATATTTCAGACGTGGGGATTTCCAGAAGTGGACTTCTTTGCAATAACTACAAACAAAAAATGCTGTCTATTTTGTTCAAGGGTTGGAGTCTAGGTCACAATCCCTTGAAGGACTTCTTCCTCCTCACTTGGAGAAAGAAGCTGTTTTATCCATTTCCCCCAACGCTTCTGATTCTCAAAGTTGTGAGCAAAATCAGACAGGATAAGACCAGAGTTATTGTAATCGCCCCAATGTGGTTGAGGTAGGCATGAGTTCCTTACCTGTTGTGCCTAAATCTTTGTCCAGCAATAAATCTTCCAATCACTCCTCTTTCAGGATGGTGGTCGCCCGCTACCTACCAATCTGAGCATTCTCAGATGTGGCTCCTTGATGATCCGTGGAATTAGTCGGTCTGTTCTGCAAAGGTGCAACGGATATTATTAAGTAGTAGGAAAGATTCTACCAGAAACAGTTACTTTCAAAAGTGGAGATGATTTACTCATTGGGGGGAACTCCAGAATACTGTCCCAAATCTACCTTGCTTATTCTTGTTCTGGAATACCTGCTTCAACTAAAGAAAGCGGGTCTATCACTTAGCTCTTTCAAAGTTAATTTGGCTTCATTAACAGCTTTTCACATCTCTATTGAGGGGATTCTGGCTGTTTACTTACCCTACAACTGATTGCTTTTGCAATCCCTCGATTTGAGGATGATCTCTACCATGGATTTACATATGAGTCCTAAGATAACTCAGCAGTCCAATCCTGGAACCGCAAATCCGCCCGCAATTGGTACAGACATTTCGTGGCAGGCCACCTGCCTGCTGGGAGAAAGTTCTTTCTTTTTCTTTCTTTCTTTCTCTCTCTCTCTTTTCAGCTTCGAGGGCAAGGCACTTCTCCTCGAAGCGGGCCACTGCCTGATGGAGGATATGGCGCCATTAGGGTCGGTTGGTGGCTTGCTCCTCCCAGCTTGTGATGTCCACATCAGTTTTCTTAAGATATGCTTTCAGTGGGTCTTTGTAGCATTTCCTCTGACCACCACAGGATCTCTGACCATGGGTGAGCTGAGAGTAGAGGACTTGTTTTGGGAGGCGAGAGTCTGGCATCCGCACACAATGTCCAGCCCAGCAAAGTTGGTGCATGAGGATCATTGCTTCAATGCTGATGACATTGGCTTCAGCGAGGATGATGGTGTTAGTGCGGCAATCTTGCCACTTGACGTGAAGGATCTTCCAGAGGCATCATTGTGATACCTCTCTAGACTCTTGAGGTGCTGTCGATAGTTCACCCAGATTTCCCATCCATAGAGGAGTGTAGGAACAACAATAGTCTTATAGACCTGTGTAGCAGATTGCAGACTCACCGGCATGGCGTCTCCTGCTGGTCATCCGGGAATTAGCTCAGTTCCAGCCTCGGCGCGCCCCCTTCTGGCCAGTGTCTCTCCTGCCTCAGGCCCCCGTATCCCTCCCGGACCTGGTGCCCTCTTATCTTGGGGTGCTGCCCCTCAGCAGTGCCCCACACTCTGGGTCTCCCTTCCCAGGGGAACCCCCAACCCTCTAAGCCCACCTTGCCTCAGTGGCTACTGCCAGTTGTCATCTAGCCCCCTTTCCCCGGGGCAGACTGCAGTCTGTAATGACACTCATCACTGGCAAGGGGGTTGGACCTGCTGCCTTTGCCTATCTCCAGGCTGCACCTCTGCAGCCCCAGTACCTTTACCAAGGCCTCAGCCTGGGGAGTTGCCAGGCTGGAGCTCCCCAGCTCCTCTTGCCCTTCCCCAGCACTGCTCTGCCCCCTGTGCTCCCAGGCAGCTAAGTCCTTCTCTCTCCAAGGCTGGAGACTCTGACCCAGCTCTTCCCTTAACCCTTCTTATCAGGGCCTGGTGTGGCCCCAGCTGTGGCCACTTCCCCAATCAGCCTACCTTTTCTCCCAGGAGTGGGGTAACTGCCCCACTACAACCTGGATCTTGGTGTTCTGCCATAGGTCATGGTCCATGAAAACGCGTCAGAACAATTTCCCAAAGGAAGCACTTGCGCACTGGATCTTGTGCTGGATCTCGTTGTCGATTTTTGCATTTTGAGAAAGTTGGCTACCGAGGTAGCAGAAGTGCTCGACTGTCTCCAAAGTCTGACCCTCGACGGTGATTTGTGGTGGATCATGTGCAAGGCCTGAAGCAGGTTGATAGAGCACTTTAGTCTTCTCAGTATTAAGTGAGAGTCCCAGGCTTCGGTAAGTTTGTGCAAGAAAATCCAGTATGGACTAAAGGTCATTCTCAGTGTGCGCGAGGATGACACAGTCGTTAGCATACTGAAGATCAGTAATGGACACCCTGAAGACTTTAGAGTTCGAGCAGAGACGTCAAAGATTAAAGAGCCGCCCATCCATTCTGTATTAAATGTCAACTCCATTGGGGAGGTGATCTTTAATGAGAACCAAAATGACTGCTAAACAGTTGAAGAAAAGGGTTGGGGCAATAAAGCATTCTTGCTTAACCCCAGTTTTGATGATGAAAAGTTCTGTCTGAAGGCGGAGAACCATGGCAGTCATCTGATCATGGAGAAGCCTAAGGACCTTAATAAATTTTGGAGGGCAGCCAAATCTGGCTAGCACCTTCCACAGGGCTTCGTGACTGACAGAGTCAAAGGCCTTTGTCAAATTGATGAAGGCCATGTACAGGTCCTGATTTTGCTCCCGAGACTTTTCCTGGATTTAATGGGCAACAAAATCATGTCGGTTGTCCTGTGGGATGGTCTAAAACCACACTGAGATTCCGGCAATATTCTCTCAGCAAGGGGAAGTAATCGGTTTAAGAGGATACAGGCAAGAATTTTTCCTGCTGTAGATAGCAAGGCAATGCTTTGATAGTTTCCACACTCTGTCTTATCTCCTGTCTTAAAGATTATAACAATGTTAGCCTTTCTCAAGTCTTCTGGAAGCTTCTCATTAAATCAGATATGAAGAAAAAGTTTGTGGCGTTTCCTTAGCAGTTCTTCACCTCCAAACTTGTAGACTTCTGTTGGTATGCCATCTGGCCCTGCTGCCTTGTTCTTAGTTTGCATAATGGCTCGTGTTACTTCTTTGAGCCGGGGAGTCAGCAAGAGATTCTCTTTCATGTCGTCGAGGTATAGATTCGATAGTGGCATCAGAGACAGTTGATTCACGGTTCAGGAGTAACTTAAAATGCTCCTTCCATCTGGCTTGGACTCTTGAGGGCAAGATTTCTAGGTATAAGCAAGGGATCACCAGCTGCTTAGCTGGGGATGTATAGCGCTTGCTTATTATACAAGCTTCTATTATCTCTTGAATCTTAAGACTGTAACCCTACAACTGTAAGGTTCATGAAGAGTGTGGGTAATCACTTCCCACCGATGAAAATCCCCACCCCAGTTTGGGACCTTTAATCTGATTCTTAAGTGTCTCATGAAATCTTCTTTTCAACCAGGGCCGGCTCCAGGCACCAGAGCCGGCCCTGTTTTCAACCGATAGCAACCTGCTCCTTACTGAATTTGTCCATGAAAAAGCCTTCTTTATGAGTATTACATCAGCTCACAGAGTTGGAGAGACTGGGGCCTCAATGGCAGAGTTTCACAGTTTTCTGCAAGGGCAGCGTTTCCTTCCGACCACCCCCCAGGTTTCTTTCTAACATGTCTTCTGAGTTTCATCTGAATCGGATCATTTACCTACCAGTTTTCTTTCCAAAACCACATAATTCCACACAGGAGACTGTTCTCCATATTCTAGATGTGAGGAGGATGTTAGCCTTCTATGTAGATAGGACTAAATCATTTAGTAAATCTCCTAGACGGTTCGTTTCATTTGCAGACAGACCTAAAGGTTCTGCTCTTTCTACTATCAAAATGGATTTTGGGGTGTGTTATGGCTTGTTACAGTGCTGCCAGCATTCCACCCCCTACTGGTGTGCCATCTCAGTTGACGAGGTCACAGTCTGCATCTATGGCTCTACTTAAAAATGTCCCAATATTTGAGATCTCTAGAGTTGCTACATGGTCTTCAGTACGTACCTTCTGCAGGCACTACGCCTTAGTCAGTGCCTCTAGATCTGATGCAGCAGTTGACAATGCAGTTCTTTCCTCTGTGCTGGACTCGATTTCAAAACTCCCTGTCCTTATGGGGATACTGCTTGGGAGTCACCTGAAATGAAGCACCCATTAGGGACACTATTAAAAGAAGAAAGAGAGGTAACTGTGGTTCTTCAAGATGTGTCCCCCTATGGGTGCTCCACTACCCACCCTCCTCCTCCTCTGCTTCAGCATTTTCTTCTGACACTTAGTGGTGGAGAAGGAACTGAGGGTGGTTTGTGTGCACAGCCTATTATAGCCTCGGTGCAAGGCATGAGGTTGTCAGCAGCACATGCACGGGCTGAACAGACACTGCTAATGAAGGTCTCAGATCAAAGGAGCATGGGGCACATGCGTACCTGAAGTGGAACACCCATAAGGGAACACATCTCAAAGAACCACAGGTACTGCACAGAGTGAGTAACCTTTCTTTCTCCTCAGGCAGCTGCTGTTCCACAGCTGGGTACACACCCCTAATAGGCAATACAGAAGTATACCTGGATGGGACTTCTGCCTGTAATCAGGAAGAAAATATAGATTCAATCAGAGGTCCCTAAATGTCCAAAATTCATTTATTCACTTGCACACACAATCTTTTAAAAGGCCCAATAGAGGCTCTTTAACCCCCCATCCCTCTTGTATTTTCAGAAGTGATATTAGGGGGCAGAATCACTGTAAAAAATACATTGTATTCAAACAGGATTTATTCAAATGAGACTTTTTTTTTTCGTTAGCAGTAATTATAGAATGAGGTTTTTTTAGAAACAGGTAAGGAGCTTACTGCCACTGCATCAAAACACATGGAACTGTATTGGCAGCAGTTATGCTGCAATAATTAAGGGTCTGCCAAAGTATCAAGTTTGGGGGTAATTGTTTGGTGCGCTACCCTGGGGATAGATCTGATCTTATTAAATAGGTTTTGTTTAATGAACTAAAAGAAGAAATAAAGTGTAGTTTAAAGGATTCTAGCGATTACACTAAATTAGGAGTTACAGACACTAGCGAGGAAAGAGAAATTATAAAAATGAGGGTGGGGGGAACCAGAGAAATTAGAAACTGGATGGGTGAATATGAAAACTTAGAAACAATGCAAATGAATATGTCTGAAGAAAAGTCATCCAAAATACATATATATTCAATGTGAGAAAAAAGCCTGGAGAATCGTAATGCTGAAGGAGATTTACCAGCAACAATTTTTTGCAATGCAACAAGGCAGCAAAACTGTCCATTGCAAATTTGGACTGCACATGCAGAGGAATCATTTTATGAGGAAAGATTGATTTAAATAAATGTAGCTTGTCTAACCAGTGACTAAGGGGATAAATAATT